CTCAGCAGAAGTAACTGAACACAAAATAAAACTTTGTACAGGAATAGCACACACCAACTTTACAAAATATACATGGGAAGTTCTTTGTTATAAGTTTGTGTGCCAAAAACTCCAAAAAACTAAATTTTACTCCAATATTTAGCAGAGATTGGCGGTGAAATGGCTACTTAGAAAGTGTCAAAAAAACCTTAGGACAATAGCCTGTGATGTCTACTTTATATAAATATATACTTTTGTGTGGCAATTTTGTTTTCTTTTATGGCTATTAAGCTTACAAGACAAACATACAAAATTCTAAAATCGCTCTACATTAAAAGTTTATTTTACTCCTTGTGCTTTATGACCTGTAACTACCAAAAAAAACTTTAAATCCCAGACACATTATATATTTTGTAAATCAGAACAACTAAATAAATTTATTTTTAATTACTTTCTTTAACCTGCACTAATTAGGCACACATTATTATTGCAAAAACTGTACAAAAAACACAAAATTTTTCTTTTTTTTGCATTTTTCTGTATTTTTTAAATAATAAATAAGCATTTATATATATATATGTTACATCAAATTAAAGCCCTTTATGTCCTTTAAAAAAACAGTATATAATATGTGTCGGTGCAATAAACGAGAGAGATGCAAATTGCAGTTGAACGCATACAGCAAGAAAATGCAAAAATTGCTTGTGTCATTAAGCGTAAGACAAGCTTCTGAAGCTGTGTCCTTAAGGGGTTAAGCATGCATGGGATAGGCATAAGGCTATCCTAACAATAAGATAAGGCTAGGGACTAATGAAAGTATTTAGAAAATTGGGCAGACTAGATGGGCCGAATGGTTCTTATCTGCCGTCACATTCTATGTTTCTATGTTTCTAATCTAATGCTAGCTTTGCTGTGTGGTCTTTGAATTAAGGGGAAAGTGGCAGTCCAGTCCAACAGCCTGACATACTAGAGGGACAGACTTAATGGGCCATAATTTTCTGCAAAAGAGAAGCATGGTGGTTGAGGGAGGTGTGCACATTGAACTAGCTGTTTAAGATCATACTCAATTACCTCCTCATTCCCTTTACATTTTACCTATAGCTGCAACTTTCTGTTAACTTCATTTAGCCATCATTTCCAAATTCCCCCTGCTATCTTGTGTCTCAAATCCCCATTATATCCTTTATATTGTAAACTCATGGGCTATCAAACTAAGCACTTTGTATAAAATAGCTTCAATGGTTAGAACTCAGCTTATGGACAGTGCCCTCTTTACCACTAGTGGCCTCCCTAGCCACTGCGCATCTTAGTCCTCACCTGTATAGGACTAATTACAAATCCTACAAAAGGCCATACCCGAGAATACCAGTGGCCTTTACATTGAAGTTGGTGATTTACCTGAATCACTTCAGTTCCTAGCTCCTGTGAACCTGCTCCAGACTTACCCTCAACCCTGCTCCATACCAACCTGCTCCAGACTTGCCTTCAAACCTGCTCCACTCTCATGTATGATTTTGACCTCTGCCTCTATTACCAGCCTTTCTGTGTTAACAAACCTGCCTCTGTTAACAGCCTTCCGGTGTTACAAACCTTCCACCGTTATCAGCATGCCACTGTTACCAGCCTGCCTCTGTAACCAGCCTGCCTTTGATACCAACCTGACTTTGTTTCAACCCTACCTGGAGATCCTAGACTTTATTATTTTCAAGTAGCCTGTTCTGTGGCAAGTATCCTGTTTTGTGTCATATTTCCTAAAGTCTGTTTTCCCTCAAGTTGCATAATATGTCTAAAAACATTAATAAAGTACCTGAAGTCAACCCTGGCATAAATCTCCTATCTGACCTGCACAAGATCATGACAGACACTCTTATCCATCCTGAAAAACTGCCCACTCACCCTGAACTAATTTTTATCAGTCACAGGTCCATGAACCACTTTGCTTTTGCTCATAATTCTGATCATGATTCTGGTTTATCCCTTGACTCTGCATTTTTACAAAAGACACACCACAAGTCTCATAATTTACCCACTGCAAAAATGTCCATGGAAATGTCTAAATTCTCTTTGTGGCCCATAAAATCTGCATGTTGATGGGCTTTTAATAAACTACCCTATGAATCTTCCCATTCATCTTAAAGTGGTCATGGTATTTGGAGTAACTATTTAATACAGTAAGTGCCCCAGAGTAATTACCCATTCTCTGTAAAATCCGGGAAATCTATCAATTCCTCTTGATAATGGAGACAGACAGAGCTACTATTTTTAGCATTTTCTTCCAGATTGAATGTGTTGAATTATATTTAGTCGATATGTGAATTAACAAATCAGCCAACTAGTTAACTAATTAATCAACCAACCAATCAAATTACTAATCACTGTCACAGAAAGTCTGGGCTGGGGTAGAAGGGGATAGTTTGCAAAGGAAGCAGACATGTAGCCCCACAGAAAAAGTGTATCTTAGGGGAAAGGGTATGTGATTAAATGACATCAGTGAGTGTCATGCCTACATATGGGCCCTATAAAAATTATGTGAAAAGACTCGGTTTGTGTGATTTCCCTGATCCATTTTCGGGTTTCTTATGTGTGGCATGTATATTTAATAGTTTGTTTTGTGATCTGTAACTCTAGGGCCTGGGGGCTAATTGGGTTAAGCAAATGTCTCCTTTGGATATGGTATTGAATCAAGGGTTTCCTGTTTCTGGAAGGCTTGGTCATTACAATACTTGCTATCTGAGAGGCAAGCAAGACATACGGCAGATGTGAGCTGTGACTTCCCACATACTGCAGAATAGCTCTGCTGGAGTCCAAGCTTCAAAGAGGAACTGGGGTTGTAAGCTTGGACATCCCATGCAATCAATTATCCCCTTTTAAAATATTAAAATGTGTGTGTGGGGGGGGTTTGGAAATTGTAGATATTCTGTACTTGAGAGGGGACTGAATTCTCTCTCAGACACAGAGGATCATGGGAGGGATGATCCTGTAATGTTGTGTTGGAAACCCATTGCAGGGGGATTTTGCTTAAAATGCCATGTGTGGCCCTGAATAAAACAGTTTACTCCCAGAATTAAGTCTTGGCTAATGTCTGTGGGGGAAAGCTATACTTGCTGTAATTACTTGCTATACCTGCTATACTCTCTGGAGGAGAGCTCTAACCACTGGGAGCTGGATCCAGGCCTTTGGTCCACAGTGGTGGCTAGGACCAAAGGCCTGCGGTGGCTAGGAGCTGGAAGTGCTTATGGTGTCCTGGTGAAGTGCTTATGGTACTCGGTGATAACTAGGAAGCGTGAATTGGCAAAAGTACCCAGTTGGGGTACCAGGCGGTCTGCCACAGGGTCATTCTGTAAGTATGGCTAGTGATATAAAAAGGAAACCATTTTAGAAATGTCTTTACTAATCAACTTACCAGGCAGAGTTGGTCCCTCCCTCCTTAATTTCAGAGTTTTGGTTTTCCCGTTTGGTCACAGTGGTGGGCTGGTATAAGGAAGGTTAGGGGGGTTAACAAGCCTTCTTAGGTTAAAAAAAAAAAAGCAAGAGTAGTTTGTTTTAGTTGGTTGGTTGGTTAATATGATTGGTTATCTGTTGGTGAGTTCCAAGCTAGTCATTTGGCTCAGAATCTCGGGGGTGTAGGGATATCAAGGTATACTCCTACCAGAATTGTGTGGAAAAACGTTAGCACATTTATATTGTATTTTTGTGTTATACTATAATCAGGTTTATGTCATTGCCTTTTGTGATTTAACATGTGGGAGAAGTTGGAATATTGGATGGCTGGGGGTTGGTCTGGGCAATGACTTTACATGTTTGTTTTATATATGTTTTTATTATCATTATTAAAAGCTTTGGACTTATTGACCCGTACCTAAGTGTTAGTGTCTTACTGTGGGGCTTGGAATATAGTTAAGTAGGTTATCACCACCTGCCCATATGGAGACAATGCACCTGTCAAAAGAACAAGCAGGCAAGAGAACTGTAGGTTTCAAATTATAACCATCCCACACCAATTTCGTTTTTTGTATTTTAGTCTTACAGATTTTGGGAGTTTTTGCCTGTATCAGTGAATGTCAAAAAAGAGATTCTTACCACTTGCTTTATATATTTGTACTATAATTTGTTAAACTGTAATTTTTTGTAGCTAGGACTCATATCCAGGGTAGTGTTATTATTTGAGGACACAGAGCGAGATTCATCAATCGGAGACATTTTCACGTCTAATTTTCGCAAAATTTTTAATGCACTTTATTAAATTGGATTTTTTTTTCATTTATTGCTTTGTGTATACACTAACCATCCTCTTTCCATCATACATTTTGTTTCACTTATTTTTTTTCCACGACTATAAATCTAATGGTCTTCTAAAATGGCAATTTCTGGGACCACCAGTAAAGTGCACTATGAACAAAAACCCATCACTTTTTTAGATCGCATTTGAAACACTTTAAATACAATCAAAATAATGATGGAATTAAACATGCACTTTTCATAAGACTTTGATAAATCTCCCCCACTGTCTAATTTCTTTACTTCTCTGTATGCTTATATATTCTGATTGTCAGGTGTGAGGGACAGAGCTCATAGCAGCAATTGACTGGGAGATAAGATGGATGTGCCCAGCTTTTGGATAAAGAGGTATGTATTTCTACGTTTAATTTTATTTTCCAAACTTCACAAATAAAAGGCCTACAGGGCTTAAAATGTGTAGTCATATGTCATTAGTCAAGCCCTAAAAGTAGAAAAGGGGATATGTAAAATAATATTAATGTTATATAATTAAATTATTATAAAATTCTGAGAAGCAGCAGTTCCAATTAAAATGCATAAGAATTAGCAACATAATAATATGCTTCTACATATGGCTCTCGAGTATTAGTTACTCACATAGTTGATCTTGAGATAAACAAAGGACATATATGTTTCCCCATATGGATGCAGTTATTATATGCACTACAAGTGAAGTATATGCAAATGTGTGAATGGAGAGCTGCATTTATATGCAGTGTACTGATCCTCCCAGTGCAGGATATGTCTGACAATATATAGACCAAGCAATACTCAACTATACTCACATAATCATCTTCTGCATTTTGAATAATGACACTTTTGCTGGGATATCTTCTACTTGGGCTTGCAGCCTGTAAGTCATCACTGCTCCACATTGAGTGAAGTAAATCTCTTCTTAGACAGGTTATGTTATTGTATTTCTTTGGTTTCCTCCATTAGGTGCTCACTGTCAGATATCACTGGTCCAGTCTGGAAATGGAAATGTAAAACCAAACGAAGTCCTCAAACTCACTTGCAAAGTCATTGGATACACTATCACAACTGGTTACTGGTGGAGCTGGAACAGACAAACAACTGAGAAAGGACTAGAGTGGTTAGGACTCATAAAAAGTGATGGAGCCGTAATGTACAACTCAGCATTCCAGAGTCGAATATCTGTAACAAGGGACACCACTAATAATGAATATTCTGTGCAGCTGTCAAATATGAGATCAGATGACTCTGGCACATATTACTGTGCTAGAGACACAGTGACTGAAACCACAGGAAATCTGTGAATAAACATTGTTTCATGTTCTGCTATTTGTAGTAATGTTGGGAACAAGACACCCATTTAGTGAAAGCTTTCTAAAAATACTAGCACGCCTAAACTGTTTTCTAGAACTCTGGTTAAGTTTTTTTTTATTTTTTTTATTTACAACACTAAAATCCACCACAATAGCATGTAATAGATAAGGATAGAAAATTAATTGCACACACATACATAATTGAAATATCAGTTTCCCACTGTAGGAGATCTAGCAATGATTTCTCAGTTCCAGACGATGAAAGAGATCACTCTAGCATCTTCACCTGTGTGTCTCCTAACCCACATTTTGTTTCTTATCCCTTTTTTAAATGTCTTACCCCATTTAGTGTATCTTATCCCCTATTTTTCCCATTGTGTGTCTTACACCTTGTGTATCTCTTACAACCCCCCTTTGGGTGTTTTACTCCCTCTTGCCTTTTTGTGTGTCTCCTTCTCTCCTAGCCACTTTGTGTCTTTTACTCTTTCCAGCTTCTTTGTATGTTTCTTTTTCACCACCAGCCTGTCTACCTCCCCCCAGACCCTCTGTGCCTAATTTTCCTCTTCTCCAGCCCCTCTGTGTCTCTTTCACCCCCAGACCATTTGTATTTCCATCCCAGGCCCTTCTTTGTGTTTTCATTCCCAGACCGTCTGTGCATCTTTCTCACCCCAGGCCCATCTATGTGTCTTTCTCCCTCCTCATGTCCCTCTGTGTGTCACTCTCCCCTCCATGTCCCTTAGTGGTCCTCTCCCTTCCTCGTCCCTTAATGGTCCGGTCCTCTTCCCTGTCCATTAGTGGTCATCTTCATTGTCCCTTCGTGTTCCTCTCCTCTCCATGTCTCTTAGTGTCCCTCTCCCCTCCCTCCCCTGTCCCTTAGTGTTCCTCTCCCCTCCCTCCCCTGTCGCTTAGTGTTCCTCTCCCCTCCCTCCCCTGTCCATTAGTGTTTCTCTCTCCTCCCTCGACTGTCGTTTAGTGTTCCTCTTCCCTCCCTCCCCTGTCCCTTAGTGTTCTTTCTCTCCCTCCTTCCCTGTCTCTTGGTGCACCCATCTTAGTGTTCTTCTCCCTCCCCTTAGTGTTCTTTCCCATCCCTTGTGTTCCTCTCCCCTCCCTCCCCTGTCCTTTAGTGCCCCTTCCCTTCCTGTCCCCTCCCCCTCCCTTGTCTCTCAGTGTTCCTCTCCCCCGATACCTGTATCTTAGTGCCCCTACCATTCCATGTCTCATAGTGCCCCCCACCTCTCAGTGTTCCTCTCCCCTCTATTTTAGTGGTCCCCCCCACCCAAGTGATCATTTTCCTTTCTCTCCCCTGTACCTTAGTGCCCCACCCTTAATGTTCCTTTCTCTGCCCCTAGTGTTCCTCCTCTCTTTAAGTAGTTGCCCCACCACAATCCCATAGTGTTCCCTCCCCTGCCCCATAGTGTTCTTTCTCTCTCCCAATCCCATAGTGTTCCTTCCCCCTGTCCCGTCCCTTAGTGCCTCTCTCACTCTCTCCTCCTTGGTCCCTGGTGTGTCTCCTATCTTTCTTGTAGGATGGTCGAGCAGAGCAGATCACAGTAAAGGAGCTTCAGTTTCCTGTACCCGGCAGGACTGCCAGTAAATGCTCTCTCAGTGAGCACTTCCTGTTAGTCCATCTGGGTCCAGGAAACAGGTCCTCCTGTACCGCGGACCACTCTGTGTGCCTGCCTCCTGCTGGTCACTCTAACCTAGTGTCCCCTGTCCCAGTGCATCCTAAGGCAGCCATTTGTGCCGCCTTATGGATGCGATGGCCCTGTCTTCACTAATGGCTGTATATATGTTATCACATCCCTTCTGAGCTGCGTTTTTCATACGGTAACAAGTTCACATTATCTAGCCTTTCTTCAAACCCAAAATATTGGAAAAGGAGATTAACATGCTCCAGCTATCCCTGCCAGTACGCTCTAAGTACTAGGGTTTGCTTGTATTTAGCCATTAATGTAAAAAGGATTTATCTACTGAATGTCTGCATGATAATAAATATTTGTATTGTCTTTTGCTTTATTAAAACAATAGACTCTAAAGTCCTAACAAACAATTATATATCTTGCGTAAGTATTTAACATTTATAAAAAGCTGTATTCCTGGCACTATCACTCTCCCTGCTTCCACCTCCCACCTCCCCATAGGAAAGCTCCCTGTGCTTTTATATGGAGAAAAATCTGACGCTGCATGTCCTCATGCAGAGCGTAAGGTTGTCCAGCATTAAATACCCCACCAAAGGTCTGTTCTGATCCAGGAAGCGCCTCCAGTATCTAAAAGACAGCCACTAGAGGCAGATTTAGTGCTAAAATGTAAACACTGATGTTTCTCTGAAACTGCAATATTTGCGTTGCAGCACTAAGTGCAAAAGGGACACTGCACCCAGACCACGTCAATGAGCTGAAGTCAGGGCCAGTGCAAGAATTTTTGCCGCCCTAGGCAAAAAAAATGTTGCCGACCCCCCCCCATATGTCCTGCCCACCATGTGACATCACAATGCCCCGCCCATATGCTCTGCCATATGGGCCAACGCCAGTCTTCACAAAGTGTCTTTTATCTGAAAAGACAGTGTGTTTACATTAAAAAGCCTACAGGCACAGGCTATAGACACCAGAACCACTACATTATGCTGCAGTGCTTCTGGTGACTATAGTATCCATTTAATGTGAGGTAAATTAGAGATTAGTGCCACTAATAATATATTGGATTGCCTACTTACCACCAGATGAGGACAAGAGGCTGATGATGGGCTCTGTCTGGCTCCACAGGTCTGGTGTAGAAGAGGCTCTCAGGAGACTGTTATTGACAGTGCTCACAACAATTAACTAACAGGAAGCAGCTCCATTTTTTAGGGCCCCTTACACAGCTCAAGGTTTGGGCCCCCAGGGCTTGACCGTGAGTATGCCTACAATGCTCACCCATAAATCCAGCTACATGGCCCACCCATGAGTTCTCTCACAGGAAGTGGAGTGTATGTGTGTAGGGGATGTTTTATGTGTTGTTGTAGAGGATGCAATGTGTGTGTGTTCTAATAGAATGTAGTGTATAGGGATACCAATTTCTGTAAGGAATGTAGTGTGTTTATAGGGGATGCAGTGTGTGTTTGTGTGTAAGGAATGCATTGTATGTTTCTGGGTGTGTGTGTGTGTAAGGGGTGTAAGGTGTGTTTCTGTGTATTTAATTGAATGCAGTGTGTGTCTGTAAGGGGTGCATTGATTGTGTAAGAGATGCATTTTGTTTCTGTGTGTAAGAGAATGAGTTTGTGTGAACGTAAGGGATGCATTGTGTGTGTCGGGTGTGTCTGTGTGTGAGTAGGAATGCATTGTATGTTTTTGTGTGTGTGTGGGGGGGGGATGCATTGTGTATGTGTGGAGTGTAAAAGAGAGGATTTGTGGGGTAGGATAGGGACTGAGAGGGGAGCAGCTCTTTATTTTTTTTTATTTTTTGCGTAGTGCTCACCCTCCTGTCAATTGTTGATTTCCCCTTCCCTCCTGTCCCTTAGTGCTCTCCCTTGGCCCTCTGTAGTTCCCCCTTATTGCTCTTCTCACTCCCCCCTCTCCCCCTTGTGGTCCTCCATCCCTCCTCTTAGTGGTCCTCCCTCTCACAAACCCCTTAGTAGACAATCCCCTCCTCCCCCAACCCCCTTAGTGGTAATCTCCCCCTCCCCTCAGTAGTCATTATCCTCTTTCTCCCCCCCCTTAGTGGTCCTTACCCTCCTCCCCTCTCCTTAGTGGTCCTCCCTACTTACCCCCCTTTGGTGGTCCTTTCTCCCCTTAGTGGTCCTCCCTCTCCCAAACCCCTTAGTGGACCTCCCCTCCCTCAGTGGCCCTTCCCCCACTCTGTGTTCCTTCTCCCCCTTCTAGTGGTCCTTACTCCCCCCTCCTCCTTCAGTGGTCCTTACTCCCCCTCCTCCAGTGGTCCTACCTCCTCCCCTGGTGGTCCTACCTCCCTGATGGTCCTTACCTCTCCCCAGCCCTGGTACTTTACCCTTCCCTGTTGGTCCTTACCTCCCTCCCCTGTGGTCCTATCTACCCCCCACATCCTCTCTCCTTCCCTTGTGGTCTATACCCCTTCCTAGTGGTCTTACCTACCCCTCCCTGGTGGTCCTTACCTCCCCCTCCCCCCACCCTGTGGTCTTTGCCTACCCCCCTCCCCTCCCTCGCCTTACAGGTAGCGCCGGCCCTGGCTGAAGTGGTCTTGATACCTATAGTGGTCCTTTTACTTAACATTGTAAAAACAAGCTAGATGCTATATTTGAACTAGCAATAGTATATTTAGATCTGCCTCTATTTCAACGGGAGTTAAACAGTCATATCAGTGGGGGAACTACCGCTGGTGAGCCCATCAGGTGGCCTATACACTAAGGGGGACCAGTGTGTATCAGGGTGTGCATCTGTGTATGTGTATACGCATCAGTGTATGTGCATCTGTATGTCCGAGTGTTCATCTGTGTGTCAGTGTGTGTCACTGTGAATGTATCAGTGTGTCGGGGTCTGCATTTGTGTGTATATGTATACACATCAGTGCGTGTGCATCTGCATGTTATTGTGTGTGTGTATCAGTGTATCTGTGTGTCAGGGTGTGCATCTGCATGTGTGTATATCAGGGAGTGTCAGAGTGTGTCATGTGTCTGTGTGTATACGAATTTGTGTGTTTATGTCAGTGTGTTCATGTGTGTATAACTGTGTGTTAACATGTATTTATTTCTGTGTAAATATGTATGTGTGTGGCAGTGTATATGTGTATGTGCATATATCCAAGCAATCAAACTCCATCACAACATGGAAACACACTCCTGCAATCTAACGCAGACATTACATACAAATACACCCCTGCATTCAAACTCCAAAATTACATGCAAACACACTACTTCACCCAAACACCAATACTACACACAAATTTAAATCTGCATTTAAAAGCCAATACCCCTGAAACCCCAGAAACACCCCTGCAAACAAATGCAAACATTACATACAAACATACCCCTGTATTAAAACACAAAAAATATATACAAGCAC